GCGCTTCTATCCGGGCCAACACTTGTAAAATAGATAAACCTGAACTAATTTGTAATAACCTGGTGATCGTAGATAGCATTATAACACATTTAACCCTTTCACAGCATTGCTTTTCCTTAAATTAATTTTTTTACTGACAATGGACATACAGTTTGTTGAAATCACAGATTTAGATGTAATCGTATTCCATGATTGAATTTTTAAGAACTCTTTTTTTTTTAACTGAATAGTAACACTTTAATTTTTACCACAGATTGTGCCATGTTTTAGCCAGTTACGCAATTCTTTACAAGAAATTTAAAACTCTTTTCGCACCTGGGACCTATTTACGAAACTAAAATGACACGCCTTTTACTGTATATACTATATACTGTGTTGGAAGGATATGACATATTCTCTGTGCATTACAGATGCAACAGTATCCAGCACACCAAGTGATACACTAGATACCAACTCCGCCTCCACCACCAACTCAGAGTGTCACTGTGTTTGTTACAACACCACGCCTATATCCACATCTGCCTGTACCTTCACTGACCTCAAGTGTCTAGTCAAAGAGCTTAGAGTGGAATTGACGGTGGATAGATCCGTCCTATCATCGTCCATACGTAAAAAGGTTAGTATTGGAGATAGCAGACCGTCTGCGCAGGCGCTAGGCGCAATTGGTGTAATCATTATTGTCGTGAGTATCTCGTCAATCGTCGTCCCGGATGCTGTGCAGTTAGCTAGGTACCTGTATAAAGGAGAAGGTGTTAGAGATCTAACTAAGAAACAAAGGAATAACAGACGCACCGACATCAACAAGAAAAATTTCCAAAAATCCTACTCATTTGGACAGTTTATATAGATAAGTATAGTAGGGTCAGATGGTCACGATTCCTGAAGGAGAATTGCCATCGTTCCAAGACAGCCTGATCACTGGACAAGATGTTGACATTTGTTGTTAAACAGCATTTTCATGAATGTTATAGGAGGCACGGTAGTCTATTGGTAGGACGTCGGGCGCGTGGCCAAAGGGTGCGGGTTCGAGTCACGTCACGGCATTGTGTTGTATCTTTAAAAAATATGCTTTTCTCCGCTTGTTCCAGTCTGTCAGCTGTAAATGAGAACTTGGTTGGTAAGTGCTGGAATTGTCGAGTGCTAGCTGTAAGCGCTAAAATGGCAGTACCGGCTGTATGCTCCCAATGGAGTCGAGAAAGATATTGGCTGGTTGCAAAGGCCCTATAATCAAGGATAATAATTTGTGAGCCGCTTTGAGACGACCTACGAACTAGGGTGCGATAAAGCGGTATATAAAAACCTCGAATTATTATTAGTATTATTATATAACGATTATTTTGTATGTGTGGGTTAATGCTTTGAATGATTTGACAAAAAAAACTACGTGATTCTCACCAAGCAACTGTTATCGTCGGATGGTTTACATACATTGTTATACATTAGTTCTAATAATAAAACAAGTATTATTGTTCTCTGTGGCAGATTGATTACTCGCCGAGATGGATACTGAAGAACTGGAAGTATTCCTCGATAATAGTCTGTGGTGCCTAGGAAAACAAAACTGTTTTTGATTTAACTTTCAATTTAAATCTATCATCGCAACATGTTCAGTACATTAAAGAAAAAAATAAACCCTGCATTAAGTGACAAATGAATCTAAAATGTCATCTTACGAGCAAGAAAGTTTCGCATAAAGAAATGGTCCTTCACGTCAAAAGGACAGTCGGATTAAAAAAATGTTTATATATATGTATCTTATTAACATGAAAGATTGCTGATAGCTTTTTATCATACATGTAGCTTTTTTTTATATTTGCAATTCGGTCTGTGTAATGATTGCATTAAAAGGAAATAAAGATTATTTGATTTGTTCTAATGAATAATGTGTCATTTTAACATTTTAATTTCCCTTCATTTCTCACTCTTATGAAGTCGCAGTGTTGGGTTTTTTATGAATAAGTATTATTAATTGTTTATCCTTCACTTGAAACGTTCTAATAATTCTTTGTTTAAGAAACCATCCATGTAAAAAAGGGACGACTATTTATAGTTGATATCGATATAGTTTATTTCAATCATCTTAACATAAATGGCAATGTAATGTCAAAGAATAAAGTATCCTATAACATTTCAATATTAACTCATTCACTCCTGGATTTCATAATGAACTATTCCAACTTTTGTATTAGAAGAGCTCAAATGCGTTTTCAGGGGTAGATGATTCCAGATTGTTAATAGATAACAAACAGCCAGCATTGATAGAATCGACGACAATATATATTCAACATAATAAACTGTTGGGTCCTAGAACAGTGTTATATAAATGTCGTTATCACAAACCATCTCTTGGTACCGAGGCAAAACAACTAGAACAACATGTTATATCACAGAGTGCCTCGCTATACACCTCCATTTTCATCATAGACCAGGAATATCTACCTCCATCCTTCATAATAACATCAAGAGGTCACGGTCTTACGTGAATTGCCAAATTCCCTTGAAATTTAAATTATATTTTAATGAAAGTTCTTAAATGTCCAAATATCAAACAAACGGGAAATAAAACTGATACAAGTATGATTGTAAAAATGGCAAAACAATCTTCGTAAATAGATTTTTTTTCACAAATAGACAATGTAATGACAAATTGTATATAATATAAAATATCTGGAAAATATGCCAAAAGGACGAAATGTTTTCGAAATGTGAGAAACGAAAGCAGATAATTCGTATTAGATTGGATGCGATGTGTTCAAAACGTTCGAAAATATTAAAAATAATTAAATGATAGAAATAAAGTTCCAATCTAAATATTATGAAGTTTTAAGCTTTTAATTGTTGATTTGAATCATTGTTATCATAAAATAATGGACCTAAAAGTTCAATTAAAGAACATTACAGTATTCAAAAATATATTGCAAATAGTAAAGACGAAATATATCTCATTAACTTCCAGAATGAGTGGAAAAAATGGAAAAGGCTTATTGATATTTCCTAGACCTACTTTTTGCCGATTGTTTATATGTTTGATCTAATTTTAATTTATTTGAAAAAAAAGAGACAAAATTTAAACATTCAATGTATTATCTTAATTACTTAGCTACTGACACCTATATATTACCAGACTTCTATCCTTTTAATTGGTCTGTTTAATACTGGTACTTCTCTTCTTGTCTGTCTATCTTTCCGTCTGTCTGTCTGTCTGTCTTTCTTTCTGTCCATTTACCTATCTTTATTTCCTCTATTTCTTTGTTTTCTTGTTTCTCTTTTCTGATTTTCCTTCCTTTCTAATATAACATTACAATAAAATAAAATACCACTTACAAAAAGAGCAATATTAATTAGTATGAAAGTATGTGTGAAAGTGGAATTCATTATGTATAATGAAATGTATATGTTACTGTAATGTGAAAAATAAAAAAAAAATAAAAATAAAAAAAAATAATGGACCAGACAACCAATCGTACGATTCAATTCAAGGTATTTGTTTTTAATGTGACGTTAATCGCCACTCTGGATCATGTGAGGCAACTCGGGTATCTGCATCTGAATTAAGGTAACGCTTACAAATCGAATACACCATGGGTATAGAGGGTCATTATTAAGGTAATTAAAGAGATGAACCGGTCAATTAACGCTGTGTTTCTTATGATTTGATAATAAATGACATATTTTACCTTTTCAGTACAATGGGTAGTCGAGATAAGAGCATTATTAAGTTTCAACTGCTATCTTACTGATACCACAAATGACAGTGAATCAGGCAACAGGCTTGGTCCTTTTATGTTTGAGGACAAATAGTAACCCATTGTATGGCAGAAGGAATGAATAATTCCCTTAATATAACTATAACAAATTTCACATATCTGTAATAAAAAGACAACTGCGTCATCCCAGAATGGACACTTATTTTGTATATACAATAAGACATGCATGGCTTTGTTGAGCATTCGAACAAATTCAGGATATACAGTCATTTAAACAAAAGATGAACTTTTATAGATCAAATAAAATATAAATAATATTCTTCAGATTTCCGTTAATTATAATGAAGCTAACCAATATGAGCATACTTTGAACATGACTTGCGCTATTACTAAAGCATACCCGTATGTATACTTATGAGGTTTGTATTGTTACGACCCTTGCTCACACAGGGTTTTGTGGTACCAGTCCTCATCACACGTTTTCATAATGTCAGTTGAAGATACGCACCATTACTCAAGTATATCATCCTTTCTCACACACACATACATGTTTTGTAATGTCGCTTGAAGGTTTGCAATAATGTGTTGGTATTGTTACTGGTCTCCATCACACGTTTTTATAATGTCAATTGAAGATACGCACCATTACACAAGTATATCATCCTCACTCACACATACATGTTTTGTAATGTCGTTTGAAGGTTTGCAATAATGTGTTGGTATTGTTACTGGTCTCCATCACACGTTTTTATAATGTCAATTGAAGATACGCACCATTACACAAGTATATCATCCTCACTCACACATACAGGTTTTGTAATGTCGCTTGAAGGTTTGAAATAATGTGTTGGTATTGTTACTGGTCTCCAGCACACGCCTTTATACTGTTTATTGACGATAGGCACCATTACACAAGTATATCATCCTTTCTCGCACACACATACATGTTTTGTAATGTCACTTGAAGGTTTGCAATAATGTGTTGGTATTGTTACTGGTCTCCATCACACGTTTTTATAATGTCAATTGAAGATACGCGCCATTACACAAGTATATCATCCTCACTCACACATACAGGTTTTGTAATGTCGTTTGAAGGTTTGCAATAATGTGTTAGTATTGTTACTGGTCTCCAGCACACGCTTTTATAATGTTTATTGACGATAGGCACCATTACACAAGTATATCATCCTCACTCACACATACATGTTTTGTAATGTCGCTTGAAGGTTTGCAATATTTTGTTAGTATTGCTACTAGTCTTCAGCACAAGTAATGTCGATTACATGTATGCACTATAACATCAGTGCAACATACTTATCCCACATACACATGCCCACGTTGTGAAGGTTCGCATTACGACACTTTATATCATGCAATATTCTACACGTGCTAGTTTGTACCGTTACGGCTGTTTACATCGTTCATGTGGTGACGTCACGAACAATCTATATAATAGAAGGATGTTGATAATAGTGCTGATAGATGCTTCCAGTCCTAGTACCACGAGTGCTATTGTCATCATTCTGTAAACAACAAATAACACATACTACACTCTAGCATCACGAGTCTTATTGTTACAATACACAAGCTACTATCATGGAAACAACAAACTTTACTACAATCTAATACCGTGGTTCATATTGTCAAAATGCATCATGCATGCTTTCCTGTAAATTCTATGATTTATCCTATGATCAGTATGTGAACCAACAGATGTTAGAATAGATCGTTACATCATTTTTGAAATGCTAATGACAAAATACTGAAACGCTGTTGTATCTACACTTACATGTACATATAATTAGCAAACAGTCGTTTCTACAAACATTAATGTATATTAAAAGTTCGCCAATTTTTGTTTTTACTAACACTTAAAGTTCACATCTGTTCTTAGCACTAAACGTATAGTTTGTTACGCCATTTTTACAAATACTGATTTTTGTAGTATACCAAAGTTCGATGACACTTTTTTTTTGTAACGTCTTTTCTCGTAGTTCACCTTTCTTGGCCGACCTACACATCGCCAACTTTACATTAACTTTACAAACATTTACATATAGTTTACCAACTCCAAAACTGACATAAAGTACTTTCACTTATAGCATTGAATTACTCTTAGTTATGACCAACAATGCAATTGCTTTTGATAACATTTACTTTAAGTATGTACTAACATTTACAAATTTCCTTCATGTTTTTACTACCACTTACTGAATGTTTTTGCGAACACTTACTCATAGGTCGTGTGATCGGATATCACTTGTTTCTCTTCTTCTATACTTCCATTGGCAAAACACTGATACACTACAACGGTACAAAATCATGTTGAAAAAAAGTGACTTTAAAGAAACTGTCTGTAAAAAAAACATAATAACAGCGTTGATATATGAATTATGTTAAAGAGGCTCTCACAGTGTATATCAATATGAGATTATGGGCGGATTGGTCGAATGGTTAACACTCCGGCCTTCCAAGAAGGCGGCCGGGGTTCGATCCCCGAGGTCGTCGCACGCATGGACTATTCAGAGAATGTGTTTTTCTCCTGCCTACACAACTTCAACAACCCAGGTGGAGTATAAAATGGCCTGGGGTGGATGTTGCAGTATCTGTGCTGGGGCATTCAAGTGAGGTGGCACTATAAACGATACCGTTGGAAGTACGGTCCCACTACAAACAGAACACAATACATCTCCAGCACACACGCAGGCATTCACACATAGGGAGATAATAGCCAGGTGGTATAGGACTAGTAGTTAGCGCCTGATAAGGCAGCTCCTGCGAATTCCTCAAAAACTGTATTGATAAATGTATATACTAATTGTATTCATTCTATTAAATTGTATATCTATGTACTGTAAAGCGCTTTAGGGTGGCTTATGTTAGCTAGATAGGCCGCTATATCAAGTGTTGTATATATTATTATTTTTTTTATTATGATACATCTGCAGCACACACACAGGCATACACACATAGTGAGATATTAGCCAGGTGGCATAGGACTAGTAGTTAGCGCCTGATAAGGCAGCTCTAGCGAATTCCTCAAAATTATATTTATTAATGTATATACTAATTGTATTGGTTGTATAACTTTCATATATATGTACTGTAAATCGCTTTAGAGAGACTTACTCTAAATAGATACAGCGCTAAATCAAATGTTGTATGTTTTTATGATTTTATGTTATGATCTGAGACAAACTCATCGTAATACCACAATCAAACCAGTCAAAAAGGCAGAGTCGGGTAGATTAAACACATGAAAAAGTTACGGAAAGCAATACATGATACAAGTAAAGTAACTGAATGGAGAACGGGTGTACAGATGTATTGTTAAGATTCTAGTTTGGTATGTACTACTCCGCAAGTGTTTTATCACGAATGTGTGTACGGTGTGAGAATATATACGGAACCTCTGCTATAACAGGAGGTCTATTCTATTACATACATACCTCGTGATAATTGTTTTTTAAGCTCGGTCCCATGACAGCTTCCCGTGACATGGTGACAAGGACAGACATCTTTACATTGGCATTTTTGGCTACATCCTATTCCATAATACCCGAAATCACAAACTACCAACAAATCAATAGGGAGGATGCATTTAGATAAATGATAACGAACACAGCGGTAATGTATTCATTAGAATAGTCATATAACAAAACAGTGTAATTTCAGCCATATCATAGTAAGATTCAAACAGCAATGCTTATCTAAGAATGCAAAATCAAGCAATTTCAAGCAAATGTCTGGTAAGGGATTTGAATTTATAATAAATATTATATTTTTTTCTCCAAAGTTATTACATAATTTATGAATACTCTTCATCACAAGATTTTGGTAAATATACAAGTAATACCTTCTGCGCATGCTCGTCCTGTGTATCCCGCGGCACAGTCACATGATCCGTCCACAGCATTACAAGTGGCTCCATTTAGGCATAAACACACGTTCGAACATCCTATACCATAATGTCCTTCTGGACATTGTTGAACACAATCTAACGTATGAAAGCCGGCATTGCACACGCAACCACCTAAAATAAATGCATTTCGTAAGAAATCACTACTTAGGATCGAAATTGGGAGTTTGTAAATTGTGTCATGTAAACAGAAAGGCTAGTTGGGAAAGGGGTATATATCTATAGAAAATTTGTCTTTAATTTCGTGAAAAAATAAGTATGTTTAAGATTCTTCAATGCAACATTAAAATTAATTAATATTATCAGTTTTCTAGTATTACATTCATGTATATTGCTGTGAACAAGATACCACCGACATGCTAACATAACCCGTAAGTTGGACTCGAAATCGATCAAATTATGGCAAAAACAAAGGAAATACTGTAATAAAAAATAATCAAAAGGTATAAGTAAAATAAGACCAGGTGTTCCGCGAGGGTAAGCATATTCTGCTTCATTAATGACGTCCGCAATTTAAATAAATGTAAGACCAAAATAAGAAGCATAATCATACGTGGAGTACATCTTCCGTTGAAGGAGCAGTCTTTATAACATTTAAGTGTTGTACAGCCTTGTCCAGTCCATGGATAGTAGCACTCACACCTTCCCTTTATACACTGACCGTGTCCTGAACAGCCCGGAGGATCACAGACCGGCTCGTGTACACAGAGGATCGTAGATACAGGCCGGGGACACCGAAACCTAGTATCATCCTTACTGAAAAACAGGCACAAAACATCGTCCTTACTAAAGATACATAAAAATATAACGACCTTAAGGAAAACCAGACACCACACGACGTCATTATTGAAAATATAGGAAGAATACATCGTCTCTAATGAAAACGAAAAACAAAACATCGTCCTTTACGAAATGCAGACGCAACACGTCCTCCAGATTAGAATACAAACACAACACAACGTGTTTAATGGAATACAGGAACAAAACGTCGTCCTTACGGAAAACAAGAAATAAAGCTTAATCGTTAATTAAAACTTCATCAGGAATATTAACAAAAGAAGACAAAAACGTGTACATTCTTACTGGAGAAAATGATTAACTAAACATTTAAAAATAATATTACTATATCAGTTGTAATACCAACATCGTCACGTTAGCTGTAGAGATGAAAAAGAAACTTTGCATTTACATTAAATAATATTTTTCAATCATAAAGAAAAACAATGTTTGGTTGATGCTAAATCCCCCGTCTTACCATATATTTGGTTGATGTCATATCCCCGTATTACCATATATCTGGTTGATGTTATTTCCCCCGTCTTACCATATGTTTGGCGTTATATCCCCCGTCTTATCATATGTCCGGTGTTATATCCCCCATCTTACCATTTGTCTGGTTGATGTTATATCCCCCATCTTACCATTTGTCTGGTTGATGTTATATCCCCCGTCTTACCATATGTTTCGTGTTATATCCCACGTATTACCATATGTTTTGTTGATGCTATATCCCCGTCTTACCATATGTCTGGTGTTATATCCCCCGTCTTACAATATGTCTGGCGTTATATCCCCCGTCTTACCATATGTTTGGTGTTATATCCACCGTCTAACCATATGTTTGGTTGATACTTTATCGCCCGTCTTACCATATGTCTGTTTGATGCTATATCCCCCGTCTTACCACATGTCTGTTTGATGCTATATTCCCGTCTTACCATATGTCTGGTGTTATATCCCCCGTCTTACCATATGTATGGTGATATATCCCCCGTCTTACCATATTCTTGTTTGATGTTATATCCCCCGTCTTACCATATGTTTGGTGTTATATCCACCGTCTAACCATATGTTTGGTTGATACTTTATCGCCCGTCTTACCATATGTCTGTTTGATGCTATATCCCCCGTCTTACCACATGTCTGTTTGATGCTATATTCCCGTCTTACCATATGTCTGGTGTTATATCCCCCGTCTTACTATATGTCTGGTGTAATATCCCCCGTCTAACCATATGTCATGTGTTATATCCCCCGTTCTACCACATGTCTGTTTGATGCTATATCCCCGTCTTACCACATGTCTGTTTGATATTATATCCCCCGTCTTACCATATGTCTGGTTGATGTTATATCCCCGTCTTACCACATGTCTGGTTGATTTTATATCCCCCGTCTTACCATATGTCCGGTTGATGTTATATCCCCCGTCTTACCATATGTTTGGTGTTATATCCCCCGTCTTACCATATGTCTGGCGTTATATCCCCCGTCTTACCATATGTCTGGCGTTATATCCCCCGTCTTACCACATGTCTGGCGTTATATCCCCCGTCTTACCATATGTCTAGCGTTATATCCCCCGTCTTACCATATGTCTGGCGTTATATCCCCCGTCTTACAATATGTCTGGCGTTATATCCCCCGTCTTACCATATGTCTGGTGTTATATCCCCCGTCTTACCATATGTCTGGCGTTATATCCCCCGTCTTACCATATGTCTGGCGTTATATCCCCCGTCTTACCATATGTCTGGCGTTATATCCCCCGTCTTACCATATGTCTGGCGTTATATCCCCCGTCTTACCATATGTCTGGCGTTATATCCCCCGTCTTACCATATGTCTGGCGTTATATCCCCCGTCTTACCATATGTCTGGCGTTATATCCCCCGTCTTACCATATGTCTGGCGTTATATCCCCCGTCTTACCATATGTCTGGCGTTATATCCCCCGTCTTACCATATGTCTGGCGTTATATCCCCCGTCTTACCATATGTCTGGCGTTATATCCCCCGTCTTACCATATGTCTGGCGTTATATCCCCCGTCTTACCATATGTCTGGCGTTATATCCCCCGTCTTACCATATGTCTGGAGGGTTGTTCACTAGTATTCCCTTTATCAACAGAGATGAGGATCCTCCCCCGTCTAAGTTAACGGCCTGTACGACACCATACTTCAACATCATATCAGCAAACTCGAACAGGTTGATACTACAAGGAAATATACAGAGATATCAATCTTCCTCATATGATTATATTAGCATCAATGACATATTTCAATTCTATAATATATAACTGACAATGAAATATGAAATACAGTATAAAATTGCAGCCTTATATATAGGGGTAAATAGAAATAAATAAAAAGTATTTAGCAAAGAAATAAAATTTAGCATCGTGTAAATATTATACCTTTTCATAATATATGATTTCTTTGTTCTGGTGTATTGGTTGTAAATCTAGAACACTATACACCCAATAAAACATTCAGATTTATCAAACAAATATGATAACACTTCCATTTTTCAAATTTCTGTGAATTATAATCAATGGAAGCTCAGAAAATAAATATTTCCTTAACCTTTTTCAATGATATGTATATTATAATTATTTGATAGTAACAAATACACGACGTAGTATAGTGTCACGGCGTATGTCACAGAGTGTACCGTCAGAACGATACGTTTCCATGATAACAACAGCCCACATTTGTGCAGTGTTGAAATGACAGAGATGCTCCATGCAGACGTTCCCCTCTACAAAGACACACATACTACATACAGAAACATCCGACTGGCTCTCCCGTTTTGTCGGACACTGTATATCATAGACGGAGATAATATAAAACTAACTTTAGTAATACATGAGCATCATGTTAATAGTGACGATTATATTATATAATTGATATTTAAGCATCATATCCAATAAATCTTAATGACACATAGTACTAATACTCTGGTTTCATTTTTATTTGAGCGAATATCGAACTAAAAACAATATTTCAAGTGGTTAAATTGTGAAATAATCCATTTTTTAACTTGGTTGATTTTTCAAAGCTTGATTAGTTTAAACGGGTATAAACGCAGTTTTAAGCCATGTTTAAGATTTATCTTAAAATTTACAAATATATTTGTTTGCTTCCTTATATTATTTTCTGTACTTACACATATATATTTTGATTTTAATTTCAACGGTTTTGAAAATAAACTTTATTGAAATATTTTGTTAAGCTAACCAGGCAAAGCTATGATATATAAATGTACAAATGATACATTATCTTAGTATGCCCTACATTAACAAATACGTGTTAATGGTAATAATAACACTCTACTTCTACTTCTACTTCTAAATGGTACTGACCAACTTCAACAATTTGAAGATAAAATGTCAGACGAGGAGTGAAACATGGAAAGAGATTGTTTTTAAAAGATGCGAGATGGTCTAATTTGCGTTTGAAAGGTGACGGTAGAGGGCTGATTTGAATAATTCCGTTGTGGGGCTCGAAATAATGTCAGGTGGGAGTTTATTCCACTCGGGTATAGTTCGAGGGAAGAATGATGTCTTTCTGGTTTGGGTTTTTGAGTGGGGAATTTGATACGAAAACTGGTGGTTTGTTCGGGATTTTCTAACTGTAGGGATTAATCTGTCTGATTTTACGATAGCAACTTTCTGGTTTCCAATGTTATGAAGCATGGTCAGACGAGCATCTCTACGTCTATCTGCTAGAGGGCGCAGCTTTAGGTGGTCCAACATTTCTGACACACTGGAGGTACGATGGTTGTACCTGTGCTTATTGAGCGCATAGCGCGCTGCCCTTCGCTGGACCATTTCCAACTTGTCAATATTTGTTTGGGTGTGAGGGTCCCATACTGTACAGGCATACTCAAGTGATGGTCGAACTAATGATTTGTATGCCTGTACTTTGGCTGATGTTGAGCCAACTTTAAGATTTCGTCTTAAAAAGCCAAGCGTAGAATTTGCTTTTGGGCAGATAGTATTTATATGTGCATCCCATTTAAGGTCAGATGATAGTGTTACACCCAGATACTTGGCCTGACTAAGATGTTCCAGTATGTGTCCATGATAAGTATAATTATGGACTATTGGAGTTTTGTTTTTAGTCACCGACAACACATTGCATTTGTTTGGGTGGAAGATCATTTTCCATGTATTTTCCCAGAGCGCTAGTTTGTCAAGATCTTTTTGAAGTGTTTCAGCATCACCGTTTGACTTGATAACTAGATATGCAATAGTGTCGTCTGCAAGTAAACGGATTATAGCATTTAGACCCACAGGGATATCGTTTATAAAGTAAAGAAAGAAACTGGGTCCCAAAACTGACCCCTGGGGTACCCCGGAATGGACATCGACAAAATCAGACTTCTCCCCTTCAACTACTACTGTCTGAGTTCTACCGATCAGGAAACTCTCGATCCAGTTTGCGACATTTCCACGTATACCATAATGTTTTAGTTTATGGTTTAGGAGAGAATGACTGACCTTGTCGAAAGCCTTAGCACAGTCCATTATGAGGATATCTGTTTGGCGTCCCTCATCAAGATTCTTTGAGATGTCATCCACAAATTCAAGAAGTTTGGTTTCGCATGATCGCGATTTGCGAAAACCAGGTTGGAACGGATACAATATGTTATGGGTATCGGCATGGGTCATGATAGTTGAGACCACAATGTGTTCCATAATTTTGCTACAGATACAGGTCAGAGATATGGGCCTGTAGTTTTCTGGGTGAAATTTTGGACCCTTTTTATAAGCAGGTGATACATTTGCAGTTTTCCAGTCTGAAGGCACTATACCTGTTTCCAGAGACTGATTAAATGTTAGGGATAATATCGGGGCTATTTCTGTTGCAAGCTCTTTTAGTACTCTGGGTTTGATGTCATCAGGGCCCGAGGCCTTGTATAGATTTAGGCCTTGGAGCAGTTTTAAGACGCCCTTTTCATGTATAGAAATTTCAGGCATGGCAGGGTATTTATCGTGAGTAGACATGTTGCATGTAGTGCGAAACTGCTGGTCGGTAAAGATTTCAGGAGGAGGAAAAACAGATTGAAATTGTGCGTTTAGCACCTGGGCCTTGGTGGTAGGGTCATAAACAAGCTTACCGTTCTTTTTCAGAGGAGCTATGCCATGGTCTGATCTTTTGGATTTGATATATGACCAAAACCGTTTTTTGCAGGAAAATTTGTTTTCATTGGTTGTGTTTTCTGGGTTGATGATATTATCAATATTGCTCCAGTAAGATGTTCGGAGTTTTCTCTGTATATGATGTTTCAGGGTTTTATACTTATTTTTTATTTCAGTGTCTCCTGATTTTTTTGATCGTTTGTACAATCTATTTCTTCTCTATGATGTACTGGACAATTATTTCAATAAAACGAAGCATGACCAATAAGCCGATTGTTATATTAAATTGAAAACTTCATTTCATTATTGTTTGTGAGAAAAAGAGTTAAACTACGTGTATTACCCTCTTTCGTGTGTGTTTCCATCCACCTGCATCAATATAACCCTGCCTTGCCTATCCACCGCCACAGCTGACCTGGCCGATACTGAGCTGGAGAAATTTTGTATTGATGCTGTTGGATAACATAAAAGAAGAATTAGGATTTTATATCTATCACCTAAGCTCTTTGTTATGGTGTCGTTTTGTGATTGTACAAATACTAGACATAAAAACAGGGAGGTATATTCCGTCTTTGCGTATTGCAGTTATCTTCTCTTGAGAGCAGGTATTGATTGTTACGTCACTTGTTTGTGAAAGTAACGTCATCAATTTTTGAGAAAACGACGTAATTTTCTCACACAACCCAATGACGTAACAATGAATACCTGCTCTCAAGAGAAGATTACTCTGCAATACGCAAAGACGGAATAGTTTAAATACCATACATTTATAGTATATTATTATAGCCTGTTCGTCGTCGTCGTCAACAACAACAACAACAACAACAACGAAATCTAAATAATCGTTGCTGTCGTCGTTGTATAGAAGATAATGTTATCAATCGATCGAAATCAACATGCTTCCATTGTTTTATTTCCTTTTCCAAACTAAATAATCCATTTAACCGTCAAAATTGTTTTATTCCTTAACAAGGATAAAAACAACGGAAATATATTTATAAAAACAGGTTTACAATATTTTTGTAGCATGTAAAAAAAATTAGCTGCATTTTTTACCATTGAAGAATCAAACATTAATATCCAGCAAATCAACGAAGATACTTATATAGGATAGGCAAGATTCTCATGCGGGTTGTGATGAGGAACAGACCTACGCCAAAGCTGTTTCCGCATAGGGCTCACAGGAGAACATATCCCAAATTAATATATGCTCTTGGAACGTTCATAGAGACATAGAAAATAAAATTATAGATGATAATTTTCTTAATATTTTTCAAGATTCAGATATTGTTTTTCTAAGTGAATGTTGGTTAAATAATTCAGATAATGTCAATGTTAAAGGTTTCGATTTTTTTCCACCTTTCAAGAGAAGTAAATGTAAAGGGGGTGGCATGATATGTTTATTTAAATCATGGCTGTCAGAGCAAATAAAGCTGAAAGAGGTAGTATTTTGTGGATAAAGCTAGATGGCAAGCTCTTTTTTGACAATATCGATACATATCTCTGTTTTGTATATCTTCCACCAGAGAGGGCAACAATCTATGACAGTTATGATGTCAATATGTTTGATGTATTCGAAATTGGAATTGCCAAATTCAGCTGTATGGGTCATGTATTTATCACGGGTGATCTCAACAGTAGAACTGGTAGAGAGCCTGACTTTATTCCATTTGATGTTCTACATGATAGTTTACATCAGGTTATAGATAATGTGATACCCTATGAAGATGAAGTTGATGAAAGTGTTCGTAATTCTGAAGATGTTTTTGTTAACCAATTTGGGCGTCGTCTTTTACAAATGTGTAAGACTACTGGTTTTCGAATATTAAATGGTCGGACGACTGGTGATATCGAAGGTAAATTTACGTTTTATAACGCCTTAGGTACAAGTACAATTGGTTATGTACTGGCTCATAGCCATTATTTGGAACAGGTTCAAAATTGTAATGTTGGGGATTTTAATGAATATTCTGACCACGCGCCATTGTTTTTCACCTTAAAAGCAGACACTCATATTTGTTATTGTTGTGACTTCAGTAATACGTTTAGTACTACTAAGTCTGTGTCCTGGACAGGAGAAGCAAGAGTGAATACTGCTGATTCTATGAATGCAAATAGGGCATTAATTGCAAATTCGTTGAATACCTTAGAGAATACTATGGACAGTATTGACAAATGTTTGGAAGTACTGGTTAACAATGTTCACTTTATTTTTGACAAGTCTTGCTATTTAGAGAAACGTATACGTACTTGTAATTGTTCTTGTCATCAGAAGTCTAGACGTAATGTCAAGGAACCTGACAAACCATGGTTTGATAACGAATGTAAACGTTTACGTAGAATATATAGAAACGCTTTAAGATCTTTTAATATATGTAGAACTGTTAGCAATAGAGAAAACTTAGTTCGTGAAAAGAAAAAAATACAAGACCTACGAGGCGAGGGTGAAGAGATCTTATCTTCGGAATGAAGGCGATATGTTAGACATTTTGAGAAAAAAAAGATCCAAAAGTATTTTATAGTAATTTTCTAGACGTAAGACTTGTGATTCCGGAAATCTGGTTTTAAATGATTTTTACCAATATTTTAAAGATATTGCCAACAATTCAGTTGACTTTTCTCCCGTCAATATTGAGCAAGTTAAAGTTAATAACGAATGTATTTACCCTGAGCTTGATGACGATTCCAGTCTTGATGAATTATTGCTTCAATGAAAGGGTCATCCAAAGGTAAATCCGCCGGTTTAGACAATGTCATTAATGAATATTTTATTGAGTATATTGATGTTTTTGCATCAGTTTTCCAGAAATTGTTTAATATTATATTACAGGTAGGATACTTTCCTAAAGCTTGGTCAGAAGGAGTTGTTATACCTCTGCATAAAAAAGGTGATAAAAACGACGTAAATAACTATAGGGGAATCACGTTAGTAAGTCATATGGCCAAGTTATTTACCTCACTCTTGAATAAACGAATGTTAAAGTGGAGCGAAAGAGAGAATGTAATAACAGATGCTCAGTTTGGTTTTAAGCCCGGGAGTGGTACCACAGATGCAATTTTTGTACTTCATACCTTGATTACTAAAACTTTACAGAGTAATAAAAGGCTTTATTGTGTTTTCGTAGACTATAGAAAAGCGTTTGATAGTGTATCACATGATAAATTGTGGTGGAAATTGTGGAAATCGGGTGTTAGAGGACGGATGCTTAATGTTATCAAATCTATATACGAGAGTGTCAAGTCAAGTGTAAAGCTTCATGGTAAACTATCTCCTACNTAGAAGTGGTAGATCAATTTTGCTATTTAGGTTTGGTTTTTAATTATAATGGTAAATTTACCATTGCATTGAATAAAATTGCTGTACAAGGAAGGAAAGCTTATTTTCTTCTTAATCGGAAAGCGAAAAGATTTTTGTTGAATGAAAAGACCAAGTTATCTTTATTTGATACTTATATATCATGTATTGTAAATTACGGGTGTGAAGTATGGGGTTATAGTCCTGCACCGCAGATTGTAAATATACATTTATTATTTTTGAAAAACGTATTGGGTGTCAGGAAAACAGTAAATAATGCCATGGTGTATTTTGAACTTGGTCGTTACCCTTTGCATATATAGCGTAGGATTGCTATTGTAAAGTACTGGCTGCAAATATTAAAGACTAATAACTGTATTTTGAGGGCCTGTTACGATGAACTTTTAGAGCTTTATAACAGGAAAGCAAATTGTAAAGCAAATTCGGTTTATCATCTGAGACGTGATTTGTGTACGTTGGGTTTTGGAGATGTGTGGTTGGCACAATGTGTACCAAATGAGAAATCTTTTTTATTATTATATATACAACGCATAAAGGATACTTTTATTCAGGAAATGAGAAACATATTCGAGACATCTTCAAAATGTTTGTTGTATAAACACATTGTTGACCGTTTTGATCTACAATGGTATTTTACAAAACCGCTATTTAGAAAAAATAAATGTATTCTTGCGAAATATAGATTGCAAGCACATCACCTTAATATAGAGAGAGGTAGATATAATGCAGTGCCTCAAACCCAAAGATTGTGTACTTTATGTGATCTTGGAGATGTCGAGGATGAGTTTCATTTCATTCTTATGTGTCCTGTGTTTTTAGAATTAAGAGTACCGTATATCAAGCCATATTATCGTATTCGTCCTTCTGTGTTTAAATTAATAGAGCTACTGTCTAGCAAAATTTTTAAACTTATTAGAAATTTAAGTAAGTACTTGATTCAGGCAAATGTTAAGAGAAGTCGTATATTATGAAATATAAGCTGTATCAAATTCTTGCTATAAACGTTTTGTTACTGTATAATGCGATTGAGATCTATGTCTTTTATTTCACAATAAGTTATAATCTCATTTCATTATATAATATATAGTACTCGTTCTACCTTCATGTTGAGGTTGTATGATTGACTTTGAAGTTTTGTTATTTCCTAGAAATTTGGTTAGATTAAGGCTTTATTTGTATTATTTCCTAAACGACTAAATTATGCAACTAAATTATGCTTCATAAGAGTCCGCTAAGTTACCTTAGGAAAACCTTAACGTTTTACCAAACTTATGCCAATTTCATAATTTGTAAATATTATGTATGGAATTGAATCTATTGGATATGTTCTACGCCATTGTACAAGATGTTTGTAAAGTATTTATCTATATGTATATTTCTGTACGCCTATATGCAATGTGCATTTGGTAATAAATTGAATTGAATTTAAAGCTGTGTTGTTGATATGAAGACCGTTGTTAATTATAAAGTTACTTCGTCGTTTAAATAAACACCGAGACAGGAAGTGTGAGGTCATTTATACCTGGTAGTGCCTCGGGACATTCGTAATCCATACTGGTGTTTATGTTGACTTTACCGTCTCGTATCAACCAAATTACTCCGCTCACCAGCTGGATAAACTTCTCTTTGGCTATGTCAGCTTCTGTTAGGTAACTTTAAAAGAGTTAAATGGAATTGACATGTTGTAATGTTTAACAAATTGATATCTTGTAATGTCTAGAAAATTGATGTCGTATCTTATTAAAATCTCAATCATCTCATCCAATGACACAATTTTGAATATTAATAAAAACCTTTCTCTGATTATTTTTTTTTTAATTTTGTTTCATACCGTTAATATTTCTGAAAACATTCCCTTCATTTTTGCATCATATTCAATAGGAAAACCCGATTAAAGATGCTTATGAAACATGTGAAATCAATAATTCTACATACAATCAACCTGTTAATTGAGGGTTTGTTATTTTAAGATAGTATAGCAGTCATCTCCATTACAATTTCCTAAGGTAACCTTTAATCACGGACTAAATCTTATTTAGTCTATTTTCTTTAATTTCCGAATAAACTTTATAAAAAAAAGTCACGAGCTGCGGAACTTTTTTCTACCACAGCGTTTTTTGACTTTATCGAGTGATCGACATCGTTGTCTTACAAGCGACGAATCAGGAAGCGTAAGAATCTGTCTATAGTGTAAGTTGGTTTAAACACAAATCTACGTTTACAGCTTAATACATCAATGTGTATGATTGAATATAGAAAATTATGATTTTGTTCAATTTTAATAAAATAAAAGGGTGTATTAAGCTTAACACTTGTAACAACTGTAAGTTTCTAATCTGAAACTACATCGTGGACGAATATCCATAATGGAGGATAACGAAGTCAGAGAGCGCCATTTTTCAAACTGCCATGTTATTTAGTTCGGATTTTTAACTCATCGGTGTGATGAATCTTTATCAACCGGTTGATTGATTAACACATATGTTTAACTAAACTTTAAAAGCTTAATGGATGACCTGTGAGTTGATCAACATGGATAGTTGCGGTAGAAAGAAACAAAATGAGACTGTTAATCAATGTGACGACGATAGATGTATCCCACATCATTAAGATGATGAACTAACATCAAATAATACGTGCTTTAAAGTGAGTACCTCGCAAGCACATTTTTCATAATTTAAAAGCCAGTCATCACATGCTAATAATCACATATCAGGATCATGAATGCAGACAGCACTTACCCGGTAAAAACATCGCCATTTTCTTTAATACCAAAATAGGCATTTTGTATTCCACCTGAGTCACGCACAAGTCTACCGTCACTAATAATATTCCCTGTAGATTAAAAAAACACATGATTAACAACATTTTCTATGTGCAAATAAGATGCATAATATCGTCATTAAAATGTTTCTTATGGGGTTTTGAATGCAATATTTATGGCCTCCTCTATAGGACACTGTATCGTCACTCTGTGTCCAGAGGGATTACACTGTTTACAACAACTGGTTAATAACTCACATCATAATACCGTTATGTAATAATGTTCGTTTGACAACATCACAAAGACAAATGTATCTTTTTTACTTGTTTTTGTTATTCATCATAATACAAGCAATTCATAGCAATTACTCAGAGGATGACAGTTCTCTCGTGATCAGGCTAAATCGATTGGCTAGATTTTCCAGACTTGGTATTCCGATGGGAAATAACTTTTAAATGATTCATGTCAATCTAATTTTGTCATTATAATGCTTGTGAATTTATGTATTTTTTAAAATTATTTTGCATTATAACGCTTGTTAATTCATACAAGGGATATTATTGTTTGGTCGGGTGGCGAAGTGGACAACGCACTCGCCTTTCACCAAGGCCCGATCGGACGTGAAAAGGTATGGGCTCATCTGCCCGACAACATTGGTTTTTCTCCGGGAACTCTGGTTTCCTTCCATATTAAGACCCCAGATAGCTTACACCCGGAAAAATAAGTGTGATTAAAACAAATTGAATTAACTTGTTTCATATATAGTTGTAAAAACAAAAGGTTTAAAGTTTATATTTTTACTAATAGAAATTGGAAAAATATCATTTCCTGGATCCTATAAGTTCACATTCGGGTGTCATTATGACGAGTTTTCCTAGTTTTCCTAGTTAGATTCCAGTTTCTCTTATCTATGAAGTTTACATCTCATAGTTTACTCGCTATCCAAGATTATTTTCGAAAGATAAGTATTTTTTTTTATATTTCAAGTTCAATTTGTGTTGATCTAGCATTACTATTTCAGAAATACTATGTAAATCTAATTAATTTGACTAATCTAGAGGACCTTTAATTGTGGGGGAAACTTTCACGAAACCAGATTCCGGATACAAAATAGAATAAAGTGTATTACAACCGAAATAGGCAACAGTGTTTATTGTTTGAATGTAAAATTGTCACTCGGAACTTTTGTGTAGTTTATATACTTCTTATGAAAGGAAAACACGTACCAAAACATCCTGCCCCTGCTCCAAACTCGTAGAAAAACCCTGCGTTCATTGCTACTACACAGGATTTATGTTCCGTTGTCTTTGTCACCAATGTACGGTTGAGGTGGCAGCCACCTGGTTGCCATGGTTCATGGACGGACAAAGTCTGTATGGGTAATTTACGAGCACGTGACGTAACACCACGTGGTGTTCCCCCAGTTTCTCGTAGGCGTAGCGATAGTCCACGAGAGGAGATCGGAACGACTTGTCCTTGAATCCGTTCGATCTGATGGTGGAGTATGCTACATTGCCTGACTTCATCTTTGGACACCAACTCGTGTTTACGCTTAATTTAAGCTAGTTAACGATCCTGATCGTAGACAAGCACAGCAAACTACAAAATAGAGTTGTATCGGAAAATATTTGGAAGGCAATCATTGTTCTTGTAGTCTGCTTAAGAGTGCTCGTCCCCTTCAAAACTTACCCGTTTTCAGTGGACTTACAAACTTTAAATACTAAATACAATTTATTGACTGGTTGTTATATAAAAGTGCCTCATTTGCAGAATATGCTAGTAGGTAATCCGTGAGGAAGTTTCATGCTTTTGAAAATCAATATAAACTAAAATCATAAAATTATCAGATAATGATAATTACTTGCCAAGTACCCGAACCCCATCAATGCGTAAATATAAAGGTATAAGACGTCATTGATTTGACGTCACTACAGGCGGACGATTAAACGTCCCAATTTAATGTCATCACTACATAAGTAAAACATTCACTGCAGCGTTAACACTCAAGGAAAGTATCGTCACCAAAAATAGACACATAATGACAACAATCAGAGCACGTGAATGACACCATGATTACACCCTCTTCAAACATTAAAATGCTCAAAATATGAATTTTGGAAACTACGTCCAATTTCGTCATCGTTAATCAATACAACTATAATTGATCTGATGCATTGATACAATCTATGACCTACTGTGTTTGAACAAGGTACACAACAACAGGTAAACGATTGTATACACGACCACAACAAAACCACACCCATCTTTACATAACGTCGAGTATTCGTTGGGTGAATACATACATATTATTATGTACTGCACGTTAGTGTTAACTTAACATACTGTGAAGTCAATTAGAAACATATATTGCTCTTATGTTGTTGTGATCTTTCATCATTGGAAAACATCTTGCTAGCCTAATTCCAAAGTTTTTTAACTTTTAACCATGTTGTATTGGTCGAGTTTTAAGCGGCCCCATTCCCATTTTTCACGTTTAGAAAAACATACGATCGTCCATACCACATCGGCAGCTTGAAGTTTGTCAACAAATTAAGCTGTAGTTTACTTTTGTAAACCAATTACTAGTGATGGATTATTCAACAAAACAGTCCTTGGCTACTTATATGATTGATCATTAGCGTTAGATTTTAGTATTAACTATATAGGATTATTGTTTAACTTGCATTTAAAGTTAAATATTGTTAAGTGTTTATGGTTTGACAAAGTGATAGCACATCTCCAAAATTTGACGAATTTCATTTCTTTCTGCAGTGTCGTTATTACTCACCGGGTACATCATGTACCTGACGCCACGTTTGATAACATACATCAATTTAAGTATTTAAATCTAATATTCATGGACCTCATGACTCATATCATGCTTATGATACCTACTTATTAGGTCACATACCCCATAAATAACAAATTAATATAGTCAATGCCAAATAGCCGTGTTGCGATACAAAACCAGTGTGTCGTTCTGATTAATTAACGATAACACTCGATGGCACTAGAATTCCTGTCGTTGAACAGACTAAATTTCTCGGCCTTAGTTTTTTATTCGAAACTCTCTTTCATACCACATATAAAGTATCTGAAGGATAAGTGTTCCAAGGCGTTAAACATTATACGAGTCCTTTCTCATACTGATTGGGGAGCGGACCGTGAAATGTCTTTGCGCCTATACAGATCACTTATTCGAACAAAACTGGATTATGGTTCTATGGTATACGGGTCGGCGCGCAGTTCGTACCTTCAGATGCTAGACCCAATCCATAACCAAGGGCTACGTCTAGCCCTTGGAGCTTTTCGAACAACACCTGTAAAAAGCCTGTACGTGGAAGCAAATGAACCATCCCTTTATGACAGAAGAAAAAAACTTTCATTACAATTTGCAGCTCAATTAAAATCAAACCCTAAAAATCCTGCTTTCAACCAAGTATTCAACCCCAAATACCAAAACATATTTACGCAAAACCAAAAACTTCTGCCAACATTTGGTATCCGAATTTTGAATTTCCTGCAAGAACTCAACATAAAATTGACGGACATAGCTGAATTTAACATATCTGATGTTCCTCCGTGGACCATTCAAACCCCTGATTTTAACTTTACATTACATGAGCGAGGGAAATCAAGTGTTATGCCCGAAGAACACAAATCCTCCTTTCGGGAATGCATTTCGAATTACC